GATTTGGCGTTCATTTTGAAGGAGCTTTTAGACTCAATAGAGACTTTGTTATTGAGATTACAGGAATATGGAGCAGTAGCTGGATTAAAAGTTAATAAAAACAAGACAAAGATACTGGTAAAAAACATGACAGAGCCACAAACATGACTTTTGCAGGAAATATCAGGACTGAAAATTGGAAAGAAGATCAAATACTTTGGGATAAATCTGACCAAAAAATGTAGTTCTTTGATGGAAAACTACTGAAAAAACAAGATTTAAATAAATGGAAGAATCTTCAAATTTCCTTTATGGGCAGAATAGCAGAATCTTCAAATTTCCTTTATGGGCAGGATAGCCACCATTAAAATGAACATTTTGCCAAGATTGATGTTTCTATGTTAAACTATTACAGTCCTTCAAAACCATTTTTTTTTATAGACGTGGAGAAATTGCTTAGACAGTTCATTTGGCAAGGAAAGAGACCAAGAATAAAACTCAAAGTGCTACAGGACTCAAAAGAAAGGGCTGGTTTTGGTCTTTCAGACTGCATCTTGTATTATAAAGTGGCAGCAGTGGCTTGGATTAAAGACTAGATTACATTGGATAACCAAAAACTCTTTAAATTGGAAGGGCATGACATGCAATTAGGTTGGCATGCCTTTTTATGGTTTGGGAAAGTTGTTGTTGTTCAGTCGCACAGTCGAGTCCGACTAACTGCAGGAGGGGCTCAAAACGTCTAGCCAATCCTATGTTGCAGCCATGACAACCACCAATTGGACACACCCATGCCCACTCGCAATTGGCTGATGGCCACAGCTAATTTGTGACTGGAATTGGGCTATGATTGTTTGATCCCCATGAGAGTGAGCTCTCTCTTAGCTCTCTCCCTTCCTCCTCTTGTCAGTATCTGTTTTATGGCACCTGAAATGCTGCCTCTTGAGAGACAAAGAGTTGCTTTGTGACTTGAAGCACATGGCAAACACAAAGATGCAATTAGGAGAACCTGTTAGAAGATATCATGATTTATTGGACGCTAACTCTAACTTAAAATTTCCCATGGAACTGAATTGGTGGCAAAAAGTTCAGATTGAGTCAAGATATACTAAAGATAAAGTGATTGGTTTTCATGAGAACTGGTTAGAAATAGATAAGTTAATGCTCTCATCTGAACAGAATTTTATAAAGATGTATGTTTTGCTGTTAGATTATAAAATGCATGATGAAACTGTAAAAAATGTCATGATACAATGGACACAAAATGTGGGTCATAATATTCAGCTAGATCAATGGTCTAAATTATGGGAAAAATATTAAGATATTTAAATTGCATTTAAGAAAACATTTACAAGATGTTTTACAGATGGTATATAACGCCCGAGAAATTAGCTAAATTTGATACAAAATGTTCAGATAAATGTTGGAAATGTGAAAGTAAAACACGTTCATTTTATCATATGTGGTGGCTATGTGAGAGAGCTAAGAAATACTAGATATGGATACACTAATTTTTACAGCATATATTGAAACGTAGTGTACCTTTTACTTTGGAAATATTATTGTTGAATATGTTGCCTGATGACTTTAAAAAAGAAGACTCTTATCTTATGGTGTATATAAATACTTCTGCTAGAATACTGTATGCTAAGTACTGGAGGAGCCAGGATACGCCAAGTAAAGAAGAGCTCATTAACAAAATATTAGAAGCAGCAGAGATGGACAAGCTTACTTTGTTATTAAAGGACCACACATAAAAGACTTTTGAAAATACACGAACAAGATTTTACAGATGGTATGAGAACTATATTTCCAAGATGACAAGACAAGATATATAAACTAGTTGAAAAAATTGTGAAGATTATACTCGCAAATAGTTGCAAAAGCGTTTATAAAATTAATTTCTTTTGTAAGGTATAAGCGTAAAATGATATATAGTTCGCCACAAACTATGAATACTTATAATGTACCCCCAATTTTATGTTAATGTAGATTTTTGTTATGTCTGTGTTATAGGTATGTTATAGAAAATAAAAAATTTCTTGAAAAGAAAAGAAAAGAAATCAACCATGACAGTTTCCTGGCAGGCCAGAGACTGAAGCTGAAACTCAAATACTTTGGCCACCAAATGAGAAGGGAGCACTCACTAGAGAAGACCCTGATGCTGGGAAAGATTGAAGGTCATAGAAGAAGGGGACGGCAAAGGATGAGATGGTTAGACAGTGTTATCGAGGTAATAAACATGAAATTAAGCAAACTCCGGAACACGACAGAAGACAGGAGGGCCTGGCGTGATGTGGTTCATGGGGTCGCGAAGAGTTGGACTCAACTGTGTGACTGAAGCACAACAACAGTAAGCTGGGTGAAATATTTTCATTGTGAAGAGTTGGACTCGACTGTGCGTCTGAACAACAACAACAACAATCCTGCACTATTAGCAGTTTTAAAGAGGATAATACACAGTTTTCTAAAAACCTGTCTTTGCCCTCTTTTAAATGCTTTTCTTTCCAAATCAGAATATTAAAAATATGCATCCAGTAATCCCTTTTAATGATCATCAATAGTTGTGGACTCTGATTACTAAAACAGAAATATTGAGTAGATTCAGACATTCTTAGAGCTACAATAATGTTATTGGCCTCCTCCCGGTTTTTGTCAAGTGTGTGTGATGGGCGTTTATATGTTTTTATTGAATTATTGTTTGTATATACCTTGTTTTAAATGTTTTTAATGTTGAAACAATTTAGTGTGTGATGTTCACCTTCTTGAGGAATTTACCTGGGTGGAAAAACAACATAGGTATGCTTTGAATAAATAAATAATATTTGAAATGATGAAATAGATCAAAAATGTCAAAGGACAGGTCCAAAAGTGAAAATGACAGCACGTCATCTGTTGTCACCAAAGAAAACAATCCTAAACCAGTCAACTCAGAATCCTGTTCAAGTCTATTAGGATAGCACTGTAAACCTTCCAGCTAAAACCAGTCATCCTTGGACAACCAGTGCAGGTTTCTCTGTCCTTACTGATCAGCTTTTAATTTAAAACAGCTGTTTATTAATAAAATGGACCAACTAACAGATACAAGCCCAGAAACCATGGAGATACAGTTGCCAACTATATCTCCATAACCAATCAGGCAAAACTATTACAGAACCTATAACAACCTCACTCTCAGGGGCCTTTTTATTTGTTCATCTACCGATGGGCTATATATAACTGACTGTAAAGAGAAATGCCCCTCTGGTGTCTACATAGCACAAAACAAATCTCTATGCAAAAGAAGAAAATTGACAAATAATTTTAATGGCAATATTTAGAAACCAGTAAGACAACATTTCAGTCTTTCAGGATATCCCATCATCTGAATATTGTTATTCTTTACCAAAGGATCTCAAAAGGAGACTCAAACACGGAATTGTTGTTTTAAAAAAACTGTAGAGATTATCACAATTACACTAACTGTGTATCTTGAATTAATTGTGGTATTCCAATCACACTTTAACTTTTCCCCCTTATATATCTATCACTTCTAAATACAACTTAAATGGTGCTTTAAAATGTAGGCTGAAGATCCTGGAAATAGTCATATTATTTGGGAATAAATAATATTTGATCCAAAAACATATCAATATATTTAATTCTCTATTTGCCCAAATCTGTGGATACTTAAATTCATGGATTGGGTCCATGTTGACAGAAGGGAGATTTCTCTCCAAATTTGGGGGATCCTACAAGTTTGCATAAAGTATCTGAAACCCCAATAGAGGGGAGGGGTTAAAAATCCTAAAAAGAGAAAGCAGTTGTCTGTGCTTCAGCAGACAGCTGTCTTCTGGGAGCCTCCTTCTCCTTGCCTGCAACTGAGGCAGCCTCACGGGAAGCATGTGGGCTGACCAGGTGAAGTTCTAATACTACCAATGCCACTGAGACAGTACCACTAGAGGCAGCCAGATGGGCAAGCAGGAGGGGGAGCCTATGCTGCTCCCATCCTTTCCCCCATCCTCAGTGCAGGTCTCCACTTGTCAGTATACCTAATTCTCAGTATGCCCAAATCTGTAGATACTTAAGTCTGAAGCTTAGAGCCATGGACAAATTGGGAGCGGTGGCGCAGGCAGTAAGTGAAGCCTGCATTAACATCTGGCCGAACAGCTCCGGCTGTTCGAGCCCCACCATGGCCGGGGTGAGCTCTCGGCGCTATGACCCAGCTCCCGCCCACCCAGCAGCTCGAAAGCCCATTAAAGGGTGATTAGACAAATGGGTACCTGCTATTAGAGGGGGGGCACCCATCCCTTGTCTAGCAGCGGCAGCGGTGAGCGATGAGCGGCGGCGGTGGTGAAGTATGGCGGCATCTGGCAAGGCAAAAAGCAAGCGAAGGAGGCCAGACCAACAAGCGTGGAGGCGGAGCGTCGCAGCAGGCCAGAGCCTAGTCTGGACAGAGGCCGCAGCGAGCATGTGCGGAAGTGCGAGTGGCCCAGGCTCGGAAAAGGAATCACAACAGCCGGAAGGCGTAACTTCAAAGACCAGCGCCAGAGAGGACGCCGCCGGACTATCTCCCGCAAGAAAGGCAACAACGAAGATCCGCTACAAAAAAGGGGGTGCCTGGTAGGCTTGTCACTTTCCCCGTATGTATGTGGCCCTAGGCTAGGATTTGTGTTAATTGAAACATGTAAGCCGCTCAGAGCCCTAAGGGGGTGAGCGGGATACAAACTGAAGGAAAATAAATAAATAAATAAATAAAATAAGACTGATCTTTCTAAGAACCTGAAAAATGCCCTATGTTTGCAGATAAAGTCAAATTTAAAAAAATACACTGCGTCATAGTTTTTCCAGGCAGAGGCTACCAGGGGGAGGGAAGGAAAGCTCAGGACAGGTGAGCATATAAATGTAGGAGAGAAGGAAGCATAAAAAGGGTAGACGCTAAGGGGACTTTCAGGGAAAGGAAAGTTGAAATAGTAGCAGAGGGAGAAATGAAATGTCCCACAAGTCTTTGCTGGTCCCCCACTTGTCATATGGTTTTCACTAACCTACAGTTGCCAGAGGAGTGCTGGTAGTGTATGTTCCCAAACCTGCAAAGCAAAAAATACATATCAGCAATTATTTTTGAAGCAATTGTTCCTGCTACTAATTATGGACATTTAATGCAATAATGTGCAACATTATTAGTGGCATTCGTGCACAGGTTAAGAGCTTGGAGGTACTCATGTACTCAGCCTTTCATTTTGAAAATAGAATTTGTATGGTGGCCAAGAGTGCCCTCTATTAGCTGCTTGCCAGTGCTCTCCTTTATTAGATTCACCTGATCTGGCCATGTCTCTGTAACTTCATAGCTGGATTACTGTAAGTGGTTCAGAATATGGCATTCTGATTACTGTTAGGGCTTGCTGATGGGAATACACCTTGACTATTTTGAAACTGCCATTTTGGCTACTGGTTTATTTCCAGTTCAAGACCCTTCATGGTGTAGAACCCACATATCTAAATGAAGGTCTCTTTACATGTGTCCCATGAGCCAACTGTTGTCCTCAGGTTACCATCTATTACCTGCTAACCCAGTTAGGGTAGGGATGTCATTTTCATTCAGTCTGGTTGGTACAGCTAATTAGGGATGAGCACAAACCAAACCACAAAGCAAAATGCATCACAAATTTTGCCCTGTTCGTAGTTTGTGAACCAAAGTTTGTGATTGATTTACTGTCACAAACTTTCACAGACATTTAAATCAGTTTGTAGATAAAGCAGAAAGCAGGGGTTTAAAGGGACTCCAGGTCACTTTAAACCAATGTTTTCTGTTCCCAGGAAAAGCCGCAAAAACAGCTGAGTGGCATGTAGCAGCTTGCTCCCCACTGTTCTTCTGTTTTCGGCTTTCTTATGCAGTCCCTTCAAAGTTTAACTTTAAAGGGACTGCACAAGAAAGCTCAAGAACAGCTTTTTTCAGGATTTTCAGGTCTGTGGGCCCATGAACCACAGACTGATTTGCTTTGCGAATGAACCTCCCAGTCCAATTTTGTTCATGGTTCGGACATGAACTATGAACCGGCACGAACCACATTTTTCCAATTCATGCCCATCCCTACAGCCAATTTCAGCTTGCTACCAACTACAAAGAGCTTGCATTTATGAGGTATTCAAAAAGGTACATGATGATATGTGAGCTCAATGATTTCTGAGAATTATTCTTGGCTTATATGAATACAGCAAAAATTTGGCAGGTCAACCCATGCAAAAACAGTTCCATGCCTTCACCTTGTGTTATTTCATACATATTGATTGTCCAATATTGCCCTGAGATGTAAGAAGTCATAATTTGTTATTCAATTGCTGTATTAAATACCACTGTTATATTCTGTGAAAGATACAAAACATAATTCTATGATTCTTAATGAGGGTGCCAATGAAGTCATTCCCCACCCCAATTTATCACTTTTGATGTAGGAAATGTAATGAAAGTGGGGAAAGTGAATTAATCTGGGGGTTAGGTGGGTTGCAGTGACTGATACTCAACTAAAACAAATCTCTAAATCGTACTGTTAGTGAATCCATGATGTGAAGAAGATTGGATCAAAAGATATATTCACAATACAATGGAGATAGGATGTCAGGTTTCACTGGAGAGGGATAGACAGCCAATGTAGTTGTTGTTTTGGACTACTATCTGGCAGATCTGGGTTTGAATTCCCACTCATGCCATGGAAGCTTGCTAGATGACACTGGGCCAGTCACATTCTCTCAGCCTAGCCTACTTCACAGTGCTGTTGTGAGGATAAAATGGAAGAGAAGAGAACAATGTAAGCTGCTTTGGGTCCCCATTGGGGAGAAAGGTGGGGTACAAATGAACTAAATAAATACTAGGGCAATTTTTTTAGTTTCAGATCTGTTTATCGCTCTGTGTTTAAAAAGTCACCTGGAAACCCATATCCACAGAAAAAAGAATAAAACTTGCATCCAGTGGCACCTTTAAGGCCAACAAGGTTTTATTGCACACACAAAAGCTTATATCCAGAACAAAACTTTTTTGGTCTTAAAGGTGCCACTGGACTCAACCTTTGATCTGCTGCCTCAGACCTCCACCTGAATCTATCACCACAGAAAAAAGGTTAAGTAATCACTTAATATACAGTATATGACTTTTGTTACTTGACATTCAATATCTACTATTTTGTCATTCTATGCTTCTGATCATAAATAATCTGAATTTGCTATTCAGTTTAAAATAATAATTTAAAAAAATCCCTAGAAAATTTTAATATTATATTATATAAAGGTAGCTCATACATACTATCTTTCACACTGTATTAAAACCAGACCTGGACTTCCGGTTTTGGTGATTCCCAGCTCGGACGCGCCTCTTCGTGCTCTGATGGAGATGCGCCCTGGTGGACAGGAGGGGTCCCGGATGGGTCTGGGGGCCCCCAGTGTCATTGTAGGGGACCGCTGGCCTGGGGTGCAGGAGGGAGTTGCTTCTGAGGCAGTCAAGGAATTGGGGCTCCCTTTTTACCCTGAGAGTTCCTGCCATCAGGAAGCTGATATGGTGACAAGAGTATGCTTCCGGATGAGGCAGGCAAGAGATTAAGTGTGGAAATGTCTCTGCACAACTTTTAAAGCATTAAAAGTGAGTTAACCGATCCCCTGCTTAAGCGATAGTGAATGGCCTCAATTCACTAAACAAAGGTGGGTTCGGGGAAGAGTTGGGGAATTCCCCCTCCATGAGAGGGAGCAGTCCATAGACTTCAAAGCAAAAAAAAAAAAAGCAAAACTAACCATGAGAGATGTTCCAGGAGATTGAAAGGTGGAAAACAACCTTAAGCGCATACCAAATGGCAAAAATTCATTTTAACTTGAAAAACTTTCTTCTTATGTAAACAATGTCTGGAAGGGGAAGAAGAATGGCAATCAAAAAGAAGCCTCCTACAGGAAATACCCAACCATTGACTCCAGCTCCTCCACAGGCACAGGAAACAGCTGCAGACTTCCCTAATATGCTAGCAATGGCACTGCGCCTTCTGCTGGAACAGATATCTAATGTCAACACTAAACTGGATGGAATACAAAAACAACTAACATGTATGGAGAAAATAACAAACCCTGAAAAAGCTATTAAGAAAATTGAGACAAAATTGAACGGTACTCAACAAAAATTGGATGAAGTAGTGAAAGAAAGATCTCTAGATAAAGGTCAACTATTACAGCCTCAACTGGACAGATCAATGTATGTGTTGCATTTTCAAGGGCAGTCCTGAACAGAAAAGTGAAAACCTCAAACAACTCTTAAGTGAAACCTTGGCACCAATGACTGATCTTAAACAAGAAGAACTACAGAATGGTATGGATTTGATATATTGGACTTATCTGGATTTTATCAAGAAGAACAATTTACCAGGCAAATTATTTGTTAAATTCTCTAAGAGATCTACCAGAGATGCTGTTTTAAAAGGTACTTCTGGTAAAACCTGGAAAATTAAAGAAGAAGAAGTGAAAGTCTTAAAGGATATCCCATTTGAGGTGAGAAAGCGAAGAAGGTAATATAGAGACTTAACTTCCTTTCTCCAATCCAATTACTTATAGATGGACATTCCCGGAAGGACTTGTATTCAAATACAAAGATAAAAAAAATTAAACTTGACTCCGTACAGAAAGCTAAAAATTTTGTGGAACAGCAACAAAAGCCGAAAAAAGGGGAAAAGAAGAGGAAAAACACTCAAGAAGAAGAACAAAGTGAATCTGACTCACGGGATTCATCAAGCAGCTCGACTAAGACTTTTGAATCAGAAAATGGAACATCAGAGACTTCTAACTCAGAGAAAGGAGAAGTAGCCCCGAAGCAAATCAAAGTGAAACTGAAATACAAGAAGAAAAAGAAGAAACCGGAAAATAAACTGAAATAAACCATGTAGTACACCGAGTAAACAGTATTAAAAATAACTTAAGCTATCTTTTATAGAATGTAATAACTCAGATTAAAACTTTTCCTTCCTATTGTAGGAACGTTATATATGGAATGTACCTTTTCATTGTAATTGATCCTTGCCTTATTTAGCTTCTGTTTTAGTTTTAGTGTTGTTCCCATCCCCATGCCCTATAGGATGTAGTGTAAAAATCAATAAAAATTTATAAAAAAACAAAACAAAAACCAGACCTGGAATTTGTTCTCAGGGTAACTACTAATGGAAAATGCAAGTGTTTTTAATGTAGTGCAGTAAACAAATTAGTGCCAGCATCTCTTAATTGGTCTTAATTAGTATGTGATCTAGGTTCACCTCTTCACATCCTTTGCAATATAATGTTATAAGGAATCTTACTTGAAGATCCAGTCATTAACTATTGCTAATGCTCTGTAGAAGAGTACAATGCACCCAGATTTTGGATGTTTTATGAAGCAAGGTGCCAGTGGCTTTGCCTGTTATGAAAGCGTTAATGGATGGAGTAGGTAAGTACATCTCTGTAGACACCATTGTAGACCAGGAAGGAACCATTAAGAGTAATTAAGCAAATGGGATGTTTTATGGCTTTAAAAGGAAATAATGGTTACCTGTTACTTGTATGCTGCTCACATCAATGAAGAAAGTCTGCAAATGGACACTTTTATTTCCTTCAATGCCCAAAGCCAGTTCATTTTTTATCTTTACATCAGATAACCATTGTACAAAGAAGAGGCTGAATACCACAATAATACTGCCATTTCTGCCAAATAAGCAATACGAAAGAAATTAGCCATCAAAATAGGGCTGTTACAAATGTTGCTGCCCTGATAGCTGCAAGTAGGCCTAACCTTAGGTAAATAATATATAGTTGGCTTAACAAAAGTGCATTGATGTTCCTACAAGGCTATATATCTCTACCCTGTTTTTAGCTTGCAAGATATATGTGAATCTGGACACAGAGAAAGTAAAACAGAGTTAACAGTTTCTTGATATCCTGTTAGTTTTCAGAAAGTAATGCAAGAGAAGCAGTTTTACTTCCTGTTTTCAGTGTATGCTGTCTTCCAATATGCTCTATTGCAGAGGTGTTGAACTCATTTGTTACGAGGGTCGTATCTCCCTTATAAATAAAAGCCGAATGGTGGTGGCACTTCTCTAGAACATTCCACACGCTCCAAAATCAGTTCGCTCTTTGATCTGTCATTCAGAGGGTCTCCCTATCCATTGGCTGCTTTGCCTGAGTCCTGCCTCCAACATTCTAAACATTTTGCTGTCCCTCCCCCCCCCATAGCCAGTCAGAACACAGAGGTTATTTGCATATGCAGCCTCATTGGCCTTTGCCTCGGAATACAGAGGTTGTTTGCATATGCAACTTGATTGGCTTTTGCCTCTAACATTCTAAACAGTTTTGCTGTTCTGAGGTAAAATGTGTCCAATCTCCAGGTGAGGGCTGGAGATCACTCAGAATTACAACTGCTTTCCAGATGGCAGAGATCAGTTCCCCTGGAGAAAATGGTGGGCTCTGTATCCTTATATGCTGCTGAGGTGGCCCCCATATGACAGCCAATGTGACGTAGCAGTCAGGGCTTCAGAGCATGGGAGAGGCTGCAGGTGTGTGGGGGGTGGAAAGCTGAAGAGTGAGGGGGAAATAAAGGTAGGTTGATGATTGGCTGGGAAGGAGATAGGGTTGCCAACTCCAGGTGGGAAATTCCTGGAGATGTGAGGGATGGAGCCTGGAGAGGGTGAGGTTTCAGGAGGCGTGGGACCTCGGACAGGTACAGAGCCATAGACTCCACCCTACAAACCAACTATTCCCTTCTGGGAACCCATCGTTGTCAATCTCCAGGTGAGGGCTGGAGATCACTCAAAATTACAACTGTTCTTTAGGTAGCAGAGATTAATTTCCTCTGGAGAAAATGGTGGACTCAGTGTCATTATACTCTGCTGAGGTCGCCACAGCAAATTGACACTGAGTGTCCAAGGCCGGAGCACCTGCCCAGAGCCTCTTTCTATAGGCTGTTGTATTTATTTCCACAACGGGTCTTTTTCCTAGTCTGACATAAATGTCACTTTGTTGGGCTGATGCAGTAGATATAAATATTATAAAGGACACAGGCAAACCCAATTAACACTATTATTTTTTACTCAAAATATAAACATGCTTAAAACATTTACATTCTTACAGTATTTTCTTATAGTATCTCCCTGATGCTCACCATCCCACTTCCACAGCCCATTACTTGTTAGCACTGGGACAGTGTACAGGGACATAACGCACAGCCTCTGTCATCTGCCAATAATAAAGGTAATGACCAGTTGCTCACAGTCCTGGATGGACCGGTTCTGGCCCATGGGCCTTATGTTAGACACCCCCTGCTCTATTGCATACTAATAGATTAACTAATATCAAGAGAGTGGACAAACTGCTAGGGCAATTACCATTAGCTTTCCTCCCATTTCTACTGTTGCGGCACACACATTCTTTCCAAGAAATGAGAAGTTCAGGGACAGTGTTACAGGGTTTAGTTCCTTTTGGATATGAGGGAATACTGAGGTGTATTTTTAATATCAGTTAAATTTCAGCGAGGTTTGACTGATGAGGGGTGAGGGATAGAGGATGTTTAAAGGTAAGAAGGCCCTGACCATTCAGCTTCTATTTTCAAGTGTATCCTGAACATCTGGTTGGAAAAGAGTGCAATCAAAACAGGTCTATTCAGAATTCTATTCAGGACAATGAGACTTACACCCAGAAAAGTGTTCTTAGAATTGTAATGTTAGTTTTCCAGTGCATTATTAGTTACAATCAATTTTATTTTATTTATTTTTTTCTATTTGTATCCCGCCCATCTCGCAAGCGGGCTCAGGGTGGGTCACATCATCTTCAATAATACAGTAAAGTTTAAAACAAAATAAAGCATTTACATTATAAACATTTTAAATCAGTAGTTATAGCTGCTGGTGAAAATTCCGACCCATTCATACTGATGGATATGGCCGGTTGCTGGTAGATGGATGGCCAGTAGGTAGGAGACAGCAACCTCGGGGAGGTCATATATGGATGCCTGCTGCCTCAACCAAAAGCCTGGTGGAACATCTCCATCTTGCAGGCCCCACAGAACTGAGTAAGATCCTGCAGGGCCCTGATCTCGATGGGGAGCATGTTCCACCAGGTGGGGGCCAGGGCAGAGAAAGCCCTGGCCCGGGTCAAGGCTAGACAGACATCTTTGGGGCCAGGGGCCACCAGGATTTAATTTATCATTTAATTAAATTTATGGATCTTGCAAAATATTCAGACAAATCATAATGTTATAGAGTACAGAATAGTTTCTTACAACAAAAATTACAAGATGTCTCAGTTCACAAAATTAAGTCATATGAAGGTGAAAATTATCATTTAAAATAAGTGAACATGATAATAATAACAAAACAGTCTCAATTACAATAAATGAGCCGTCAGTAAATTTGAGGATGGAGGCTGAATTTAACTAGAAATTAAACGTAAAGTATTCAATTAAATTGTCTCAATTGTCTGAACTTTGATATCCCATAATTTTTAATCTAATGGAAGCAATATTCTTTTAACAATCGAAATTCTATTACAATCATTACTTACTGATAATTGTCTTCTGTAAAATTATAGTTTGTGATTTTCTGCAACAGAAGACACTGCAGACTTTACTCTCAAGACTGAAAACCTCTCTTTTGAAAAAGATGACCTTCTGGTCATCATGGATGTTAAATCATCATGTACCAATATAACACATGAAGAGGCCCTTTCTGTTGCAGAATTTTTTCTTCAGAAGTAGAAATATTTCTCTCTTCCCATCTCTTTTTTGATGCAAGTCCTTGAAATTGTTCTAGAGAAAAATTCTTTTCATTTTCAAGATCAATTTTATGTTCAAATTCAGGGGGTTGCCACTATAGCCAACTTGTTCAGGGGCAAATTTGAAGAACAATTTCTTTTTCAGTCTCCTTCATCTTTTTCTTTTGAATCATTTGAAAGGTTATTACAGACTAGCAATAAGGTCCATTGTGGAAATAAGTGCCATGGGCATTCAGCATCAATTTGCTGTGGCGACCTCAGCAGGGTATAATGACACACAGTTCACCATTTTCTCCAGGGGAACTGACCTCTGCCATTTGAAGGGCAGTTGTAATTCTGAGTGATCTCCAGACCTCACTGAAGATTGGCAAGAATGGTTCCCCAGGAGGAAAGGGATGGTTTGGAGGGTGGAGTCTATGGCATTGTACCTAACGTCATACCCCTCCTCAAACTTCACCTTTTCCGGGCTTCACCCCTCAAATCTCCAGGGATTTCCCAACCTGGAGGTGGCAACCCTATCTCCTTCCCAGCCAACCATCAACCTACCATTATCTGCCCCTCTGACTTCAGCTTTCCATCCCTCCTGCCTCTACCTAGGAAAAGTACAGTCTTTCTCCACAGTGGAGACCCAAGCAGGAGGGAGGTAACATCAGCAGGGTATAATGACACAGAGTCGACCCTGCAAAGCAGCCAGGGGAACTGATCTCTGCCATCTGTAGAGCAGTTTTAATTCTGAGTGATCTCTAGCCTTCACCTGGAGATTGGCAGCAATGGTTTCTCAGAAGATAAATAACTGCTTTGGAAGGTGGACTCTATGGCATTCTATTCAGCTGAGGCCTTTTCCCTCCCTAAACTGTAGCTTCTATAGACTCCAATACAAAATCTCCAGGAATTTCCCAACCCGGAACTGGCAACCCTAGTCAGGACTGGCCCCAATGAGTTCCCCACCAAGGCCTGGAAAGGGCCTCCTGCCTTTGCCTTTTTACTGACAGAACCAAGCTTGGTTGCCTAGCAACAGCCACTGAGGGGAAAGTTAGCCCCACAGGAGCCAAGCAGGAGAAGTGTCCTCATCAGGAGAGACAGCCATTTTGGCAGTTTATTCTGTCAGGGAAGAGTATCCAGGCTGGCAGTGGACAGGGGAGAGGAGCAGACCCAACACCCAGCCAATAGCACATGAGTACTCTTGAGTGGCAGTTGATGGGCCAATAGCTGATGGAGTGTACAGCACAGCCAATGGGAGAGTCAGAAAGTGCCAGTACATTGAACTTTTATATATATATGATATATCAACAATATTTTTTTAATGATTTTCAATGGGAATGATATATTTTGTGAATTTTTGGAGTGGTTGGATAGATTGCATCCCACTTTTAAGTTTTCCTATGCCTTTGACTCCATTCAGATTTCTTTTTTGGATACATTGGTATATGTTCATGCAGGTCATTTGTATTAAACCTTTTGTGAAACCTACAGATAAAAACTCTTTTTTGCATTGTTCCAGTTTTCACCTACCATGGCAGAACAGGAACCTTCCTCTCAGCATTGTTTAATCTATTAACCATAGTACTTCATCTGCTTTGGTCTACTTTGGTGAAGACAAGTCTATGGCTTAGAAATTTTATCAGCATGGATATCCCAACAGAGTGATGACATCAGCCTTGAACCGAGCTAATTGCAAATCAAGGAAGGAACTATTTGTTCATTCTAAGCCCAACAAGGAAAGTGGAATATTTTTCCACTGGACTTTTCCCTACTTGCTTTACATATTAAGAATATAAATTTCAGGCACTGGCATCTTCTAAACAATATTCCATGTGAATCCTGTGAAGCAAAACCTATTATTGGTTTTAAGAAGTCACAATCCATTAAGGACTTACTGCTTTGTGGTGATTTGAAGACAGTGGAGGCATTGCATATTTTGAAGGGTCACTACAAGTGCA